ACTTTGAATAATTTTTTTGTTACTTATAAAGTTTTTCATTCAAAAGTCATTAATACATTTTTGTAAAAAATGAATTTTTTTTTTTTTCGTTTCTTTTTTTTTTTTTTTAAATGTTTAATCCCAGATCTGTATATCATTTTTTTTTTAAATGAAAAAAAAAAAAAAATTTAAAATTTTTTTTCTTATTTCTCATTATTCGAACTACAGTGATTTCATATTTTCAATTATGCAATCCTTAAAAGTTCAATTATAAAAATCTTATCAAAATGTCTGTCTTTTTTTTTTTCCATCCGCTTGTCGTTTTTTTTAAATTGATTCCCTCTCTCTCTCTCTCTCTCTCTCTCTCTTTAAAATCTCTCTCTTATTCTTTGTTCCTTTTTTCTCTTTCCCCTCTTTACCCTCTCTTGCTTTTTAAAAATTTATTCCTTTAGTCGTTTTCTTTCACATTATATATTCTGAATTTTCTTCTGTATATAACATGTTTGTTTTTTGTTTTCTTTTGTTTTTTAAATATTTTCCTGGCTTTTTGGATTTTAATTATCCTCAATCTCGCCATTTGTGTTTTTTTTTTTTTTTTTGGGGGGGGTTTTTCAATCAATCAAAATAAAAAAAATTTTTCTATGGCTTTTTATTTAATATTTTAAGCTATAATTAATTAATCGCCAAAGTGGTGGATATTTTTTCTTTAATATCTCAAAAACTTTAAAAAAAAAATAAATAATTTTAATATATATGGTTTTTTTTTTGTTTTAGGATATATCGCTTGTAATCAATCAAGTTCAACATTGTTCAAAAGGTACTTGTATTTATTTCTACATGTTTTTAATTCATTTTATTTGTTTAGTAAATCAATTACATTATATATATATATATATATATATATATATATATATTTATATATAATTTATATATTTTCAATAATTTAAAAAAATTACATCTTTCGCCTTTACATTCATAAAAAATTGTTCTTTTTTAATTTCCCATCTTTTCAATTTGATTGAAAATTTTCCAATTTCTTTTATTTATAGTAATTTTGCTGTCATCATCTGGTCTGAAAAAATGTTTACGTTTATAGATTTTTTATAAAATGGTAAGAATTTATAATGTTAAACAAATTTGAATTATGTCTCTTTTAATAACTTTGATATTTCAATTTATATTTAAATATATTTATAAATTTAATTATAAATGTTATTTTTAAACTTTAACCTATTTATTTGTTCATATTTTAATTTTTAAATTTTTTTTTATTTTTTTTCTATTGGTTTTCTTTTTAATTTTTTTCCTCTATAAAATAATGTCTTTATTTTAGAAAATGTATATAAAATTCTTGTTTTTTATTTAAGTTTATCTTTTTTATATTATTCTTCTCTTTTCTCTCTATCTTCTCAATATTTTTAATTCTGTATATTTTTTTTTTCCACACTTTTTTTAATGTAATTTCTTCTCTATATCTCCTCAAATTGTCTATTTATTTTTATTAAATTCTGTGTTCAATTTAAATTAATTTTTCTGATCACGATTTTTTATTTGAAAACAAAATGTAAAAATCAAAGAAGCTATTGGAACTACCTCTTTAAATTGCTGGTGTTCCCCAGGTCCAAAAGCTTTAAAAATTTTAATCTTTAGTCCCCCAAACTGGGTCAAAATAATATGAAAAATTAAATATTATTTTATATAGCAATAAAAAATCTCGTCGGCAAATTCCCAATTGAGGTTGATAATGCTGTAAACAAAAAAATTTTTTTTGTTTCTAAAAAAAAATGCATTTTTAAATTTATTGTTTTGTTTCTTTTTGTATTCTTAATTCTTTTTATTGTTCTCTCACCTTGATAATTTTTTTTTTTTTTTTTTTTATTCAATTCACATTTTTGTAAAAAATTTTTAACTTAATGATTGGGGTGAAGTAATTAAAATGTAATATACATTCTGAATATGTCACCAATTCATATATTAAATACATTCGTTAAATAAAATTTCATTAAAAAATGCAAATTTGAACAATATAATAAAATATAAAACTGCATTAAATTTCTAATTTATTGATTCAAATTTTTTAATTTTCCAAATTCAAAAAAGTTTTTTTTTTTTTTTAAAAAATTCTGGGGTTATTAAATTAATAAATAAATATAAAAATAATTTTTCATAATTTTTTTATTTTATAATTTTTTTTTTTTTTTTTTCTTTTTTTATATGTTTTTGTTTTTTGTTTTCATTTTCCTTAATCAAAAATTTAATATAAATTTTTTTAAAATTGTTTTGTATGTTTCTTTTGTTTTTTGTATGTTTTAATTATTGTATGTTAATTTTTTATTTTTTTTTTACTGTGTGTAAAAAAAAATTTTTGTGTGTGTGTTTATGTTTTCCTAGTTTTTATTTGTGTGTTTTTGTTTTTTTTGAATATGTCAAATGTGTTTTTTTTTTTGTGTAAAAAAATATTTTCCCTAGTTTTGAAAAAAAAATTTTCGTCTAACTTTTTTTTGTAAATATGTTTCTTTTTAAACTTTTTTCATTTTCCTATATTTTGATGTCTATTATTCCTATTTTTTACTGTGTTTTATGTTTATTCTTTCTTAAAAATAAAAATTCCAGTTTTTGTGTGTTTTTCATTTTTCCTTTTTTGTGTGTTGTTTTCTTATATTTTTTTGTGTGTGATTTTGTCCTAGATTTTGTGTGTGTTTGTACCTAGTTTTTATTGTGTAAATTTAATATTTGTGTGTGTGTTTTTTAAAAACTTCCTGTGTGTGTGTGTGTTTGATTTTTGTATTTGTTTATTTTTGTGTGTTTTTCAAATTCCTTTTTGTGTGTACAAATTGTTTTCCTAACTTTTTTTTGTTGTGTTTCCTAGTTTTTGTGGTGAAACTTTTATTTTGTGTGTTAGTGTTTTCAAGTTTTTTTGTTATGTTATACAAACATATATTTGTAAATTTTCAAAAATTCTTTAAATCTATGTTTGTGTGTGTGTGTATTTTTCCTTTTTTGTGTTAAGTGTTTTCTGTTTTGGATGTTTTCCTTTTCCTTTTTTAAAAAAGTGTTTTCCTATCTTGATAATGTTTTTTTAGTTGTGTTTTGTGTTTTATTTTGTGTGTGTACTTAGTTGTAATATTTAAAAGTATTTGTGTGTGTGTGTGTTTTTTCAAAAATTTTTTTTGTGTGTGTTGTTTAATTGTTAATAATTGATTTTAATTTGTGTGTGTTTTTATTTATATTTTGTTTGTTTTTTTTTGTTTTTTATTTTTATAAATAAAAGCTATATATTTTATTTTTATTAATTTTCTTTATTAAATTCTGAGGTATTTTTTCAAAATAATTGATATAGAACTAATAAATAAAAATTGTTTTATGCTGGCCAATTTTTTCTTTTTTCAACCATGTTACCACTGAGTTTCCAAAATTTATATTTGTCAAATAATTCATATATATATATCTTATCTTTACGAAATAAATAAAAAAAAATTAAAAAAAAATAAATATTTCATCTTTTCTTGAATTTTTTGCAACTTATTTCTTGAATATATTTATTTTATTTTATAATAAAAACAAACCTTCAATTTGTAATTTTGTTTTGTTTTTATTCTCGATCTTTTAAAAAAATTCTTTTTGTTCCGATAAATAATTTACCCTTTTATTTGTTTGCTTTTTAAGGTTTGCATATAAACTTGGATCCTTACCATCAATTTTTTCTCCATATTTTTTCCTAATTTTTAAATCCATTGTACTTTTTTATAAATATTTTCAAACATCGTGATATTCAAATAGGTTATTATTTCTTTATATATATATATATATATATATATATATATATATATATATAATTTATAATATGTTCTCAATATCAATCAATATTAATGCGTTTATATATATATATATTATTCGTATGAATAAATTTTATAAAAATATAAATATTAAAAACATATTATTTAATAAATTCCTATTAAAAAAAACTACTATAACACATTACACTATATTTATTGAACTATATACTTAGTTCATGACATAAAAACTGAATACACTTGTAAAAATAGAATATGTGGATTTAACACATCACAAGAAATATTTAAATAAAATTCTCACTTAAAATTTTGAAAAACTTAGCGTTGCGTCTTTGCACGTTCCGATATCTTACAAACCGTCAATAATAGCAGATATTCAAAAAACATCTTTCGGTCGACATACAGGTATATCGTCTCAAGTTTTTGATTTTATAAGGAAAAAAAAACACATGCCTGATGATGGATAGAAGACTATCCGTAAGTACTAGCATTTTAACATCAAATAAACTGAAAAACTACAGACAACAAGTTTTTCTTCAAGGATCAAAACTATGGATGAACAGGATTTTAATGCATATATTATGTTTTCTAGCGATGGATGTCGCCAATAATCGCATTAATACTTCTGATTAATTCTATGTGATTATTTTTTGTATATATATATATATATATATATATATATATATATATATATATATATATATATATATATATATATACTAATGCATGTTTTTATGTGTTTTTATACCTCGATATAATTATCTCTCTCTCTCTCTTCTCAAATTTCCTCTCTTTCTCTCTCCTTCCTCTCTTTCTTTCTGCCTCTGGCTTTTCTATTTCTCTCTCTCTCTCTTTCTAAATCACACTTTTTTTTCATTTTAGAAAAATTTTCTCCCCCCAAATCAATGGATGGCATCATCTACATAATTACAGTTTTCTTTTTCTTACTCAAAAAAACAATGATGATGATAAAAATACCTCGTAAGTGGTTCAGACACCGAATCTTCGGCGGAGGAGGAGGATAAGATTTGGTGGCAACGTAAACGAATAAGTTAAATCCACTTCAATATCAACTTCGACTCCATTGCAAATAGGAATTCTCTCGCGCTCACCTTGATAAGGAGAGAAACGTGGGGTTAAAAATGGCAGGAAAACTGCTAGCCTCGATTGTTTCAGATTTCACTTAATAAGATTTGGATCGATAATTTTTTTTTCTCGACTCGTGAAATGAAGTCCGTGTCTCCGTCTTTCATTCTTCTTTCCCGACTGGATGTCTCCCTCCCTTTCGCTCTTCTCATTTATTGCTTACCACTTCTTTTTAAATATTGATTGATGATAGCTCAACATTTTTGCGTCAGTCATCGTGATGCTGGTTTCACTATTTACAACATAAACAGCGACCTTTCTTAGAGTCAATGATAAATGACTGATTTAATCTCCCATTCTCATCCTAACCTGGTGTCCCCCTTCTCCCCTCCCTCCTCTTAGTCCATTCTCTTTGGCCCTCTCCCCATTCTCACCTCCCCTCTCTCCCCATTCTCACCTCCCCTCTCTCCCCATTCTCACCTCCCCCTCTCCCATTCTCCCCTCTCTATATATTCCATAAACCCTTTTTGTGCACCTCCCTCTCCCCATTCTCACCTCCCTGTTCGTTGTCCCTCCCCATCTCTCTTAAGATGTCTCCCATTTTTAAAACTCCCTCCTCTTTCTCTCTCTCCCATTCTCACCTCCCTCTCTCTCTCTCTCCATTCTCCTCTCCCATTCTCTCTCTCCCCATTGCTGTCTGTGGCCCTCTCTTTCTCTCCCCATCCCCAATGTCTCCAAAAATTGACCTTTCCCCATGATATTTCTCCATTCCCCCCCCCTTCCATTAATTCCTCATTTGCTCCCCTCCCCTTTTACTTCCTTCCTATTACTGAAGAGTGTTTATCAGCATTCGACAGACTGTTGCCACTAAATGACCGATATATTTTGTGTCTCTCTCTCTCTCTCTCCATCTCCAAATTTTTAATTTTTTCAACGTTTTCTTTGCGGTTCTCGTAATATGAGAGGTTAAGCAACGTCGAACCTGATGGGTGACCGCTTGGGAATACCAGGTGCTGTAAGCTTGAAAATGCCGGTGGTATAATAGTTAATGGCTGGGAACAATTAATAGGAAAGCAGTTCCAATTCCCATTCGGTTCATTATATCTACTTAGGCGTGGGAAAGGTAGGACTCGGCCTATCCTGCTCCCAAATATGGGTTAATTAGTAAGATTTATATTTCCAAAAAATTAATATCCTACTTAAATAAAAAAAATTTGGATTTTTGGCATTAGATAATTCATAGAAGTTGATATGCCGCTAAAATAATGCTATCAACCATAGCGATATGCTAGTTAAAAGCTGGGTTTGCTTTTTCTGAAAATATTTAAGACCACAAACTTTTGTCTTTTCAGAAACATTTTTTGACGATTGGGCAACAGCAGCCCAGGTATGGCAGCAATACTCCGTTCGTGGTCTGGTCTGATTCTTATAAAGATGGGGCAGGGGTGAGGTATTTTCTGGGTCAATATAATGAACCAGCCATTCCTCCAGCATCTTTTTCGGTTACACGAATATATGTGTTCCATTTGAGATTGAAAGTGAGCTTTAGCTCCAGTAGGCGTTTCGAGGCAAGGGGCTTCTTTGATGGTATGACCAATTATCAGGATTGGTGTAAGTTTGAGGATCTGTAATAAAAGCAGATCCGTGCGGGTAACCAGGAAAATCTGAAATTGCTCTCGTGGAAACGAGTACTGGATTACTGTTTACCAAGCTTTCATTCAAATCCAGGGCTTTCTCACTCCTGTTGGAGGAACTCCTCCCTGATTGACCTCCACCACTTTCTATTTTTGACTATGTAGGACCGTGGTATCGGGTCAGATCCACGCGCCATCTTGCCTTTGGTCGCCATCTTGTTTATTCCCGCTGCCTTGGTGTCGTTCTACCCATTGTTTCTGCGTGGAGTGACGTGGCCAGCCCATCTGTTTGTCGTTTTTCATGGTCTCTATTATGCCCTTCACTCCGATCTGCTCTCGGATCTAAGTGTTGCTCTTCTTATTGTGTAAGGTGATGCCGAGCATGATTCGCTCCATTTTACAGTTGAGCCACTGCAAGTGCCTATTCAGTGGTGGCGTTGAGCACCCAGATCTCACTTCCATAAGTCATCACCAGCAGAACATATTCATTTAACAACTTTCTTTTGGTTTCGGTTGTTGACTTGGGAATTCTCATGATGTTACAAACTTTTCCAAAAGCCGTCCAGCCAAGGACAATTCTCCTTTTAACCTATGGAAGTAGGACATTATTTTTTTTTTTTGTAACCTTCTTTCCGAGATGCGCATAACTGTGTACTTCCTCGGTGGGTTTTTTTTCTACAGTATCTGGTGATGGTTTAGCGTGGCTATTAAGCAGTACCTTTGGTTTTTCCAAGATGCATGTTAAGGTCTACAAATTGGACGTACAAAAATCATATAAGTACAAGCATTTAAATATCTGGAAAGTATTTTAACAGATGACGAAATGTGCGACACTGAAATCCGAAGGCACATTTGGATGTCCAAAGATGCATTCAAAACGCTAAGCAGAGTATTAAAAAAATAGAAAACATCGTTCGAAACAAAGAAACGAGTAGCGAGCTGTTACGTGATATCTGTCCTATTACATGGCAGTGAATACCTGAAATCTCTACAATAATGAAGAAGACATTTGTAGAGTCTAAATAAATCCAAGAAAAAAGACGTCTTCCAATTACACATGTTTCTGTTTTTGTGGACCTACTCAGTTCATTTTCTGTCATCATATGAACGGGTTCCCTTATCTTTCCTCTTTTATCTCAGACTTCATATATATCTCATATATATATATATAAATTATTTATTTAAAAATTATAACATAAATATGTTATAAAATCACTACAAAAATAGCCATTTTGTTTCAACACCTCTTCTGTCTTATCAAATGATGATGTAGATTGTAGAATAAAGCTTTTAAAAGGTTCAAATTAATTAACCCCCCAGTAAGGGGAAAAACCACATGAACTGAAATGACCAATCAAAATACAAGTATACGAGATTTAAATTCTCGTATACTTGTACTTTGATTGGTCATAAATAATTATATTCGCTCTACTCTGAATTTAGCACTCTTTTAAGAATAGTAATTGTTGGTTATTGTAATTTATTCCGTATACATCAATCATATACGTGTATATATAATATATATATATATATATATAAACTTAATACAACCAACATAGTCATCCATAACAGCTCTTCTCAGTCATCTTACAAAAGAGCAGCATCGTGTATCATTTTGGATATTGCATTTTTGATAAAAATGTTAATACGTATGTTGGTTTTACAACAACGACGATGACGAGAAAGCTTAAGTTTCACTTGAACGATCATAGTTCAATCTCAGAACATTTAAAGGAACACTCATGCCCACATTCACAGTTTAAACAAATATTTAGTCGAAAATACATCAGCCCTTCAAGATAAACAAATGGGGGTGCTTATTATTATGCACACCTATGAAAAATGTGACACTGTAATGCAAAGTCGCATTGAGATATCTAAAGATGCATTCAAAACGCTAAGCAGAGGATTAAGAAACTGAAAAATTTCGTTAGAAACAAAGAAAGTAGTGCGGAACTGTTGGATTATATCTTCTTGTGCCATGCGTGATACACGCTGACGAGGCAGACTTTTTTCCTCGCAGTAGATTGCCATTTCTTTCTGCAGTAGACCAGTTGCCATCCCAGGCTATAGAACCCGATCTGTCCTGCTATTTAACCATGGCTGGGATGGAAGAAGAGGAGGATTCGTATCTTTCCCAAGTGTATTAGCACGTAAGTGAATGTAATAGATTCGACTGGTATTCGAACACGGCTCTACCAATTCCACAATCCGAGCCGCTATCCATATCAGTCCTCCTATATAGCAGTGAATGCTTGACAATCTCCTCAAAGATGAAGTCTTGAAGCAATAGAAATGAGATTCTGCAGAAGAATACTGTGGCTACCATGGATTGATAATGAGAGCAACGACGAAGTTCTCGAGAAAATGGAAACAAAAAGTAACCATATACTTAGCATAAGAAAGAGTAGTTGAAATTTCTAATGCACATAATGAGGAAACAGGGTTTGGAAAATCTCTCATAGGGTATATTGAAATTTCGAGGGCATATAAAAAGGAAATAGGATTTGGAAAATCTCTCATACGGAAGACTAAAATTTCTAGGGCACATAATGAGGAAACAGGGTTTGGAAAATTCTCTCATAGGGCATATTGAAATTTCTAGGACACTTAATGAGGAAAGAAGGTTTGGAAAATCTCTCCTAGAGCAGATTGAAGAGAAGAGGGATAGGGGTAAAGAACACATAACCTACTTGGTGAGCTTGAGTAAATGGATGGCGGAACAAAGTTTAGAAATAACAAAGATTTATTAACAGTTACGAAGGACAGGAAATTGTAAAGAGCCATAATCGCTTACGCTTTGAAGAGACACGGCATATAAGGTTGGCTCACGATGTCGATAGCATTGAGTGTCTCTAATTCTTATTGTGTAAAGGCTATTGGGATGTTATTTTCGTAATCTGTGTGGAAGAAGAGCTCACCATTTATGTTGATGCCCTTTAACCTTCAGTTACCCTATCATTTTTAACAGTATGGGTAAAGTACAACTTCAAATTGTTAACAGTCAGCTTCATATTGAAACTCTTTTATTAAAAGCCGGATAAAAAAAATAGTCATTTTATGTTAAAATGATATTCAAGAGAGCTCCCCGCGTCGTGGTGGAATGATTAGCGAGCCAGTCTTGCTGATAATTATTCCAGAATATGGAGTTCCCAATTTAATGCCAGGTCTTCCCAATTTAGTGATTATATATTTTAAACTAGCTAAAAGGCTAGCTCATGCGAAGGGCTCTTGATTGGGCCTTTATCACAATAGATACGGAGGAGTCGATGCGACAGTCAATAATAAACTACAGAAGAACTCAAAATTAATCGCTTCATTTAAGTCTTGCGTTAATATTTAAGCTTACCTTTTAAAAGTTCAACGATAATTTTTCTGCCGCTACTTAATTTAAAACAATTTGATGTACGTAGGTCCTTACTTTCCGTACGAATGTTTTTGTTTTTTTTAATTTCATGGGTGACTTTCGCTGGATTTCGCAATTAATTTCGATTATTCCTAAACTTATTTCCAAGTTACAAAAATTGTTTTCGTTAAAAAAGAAAAAAAAAATTGTCGCAAGAAATCACGTAAAAAGAAAAGAATCGACGTAATGAAAACTCGGAATCCCAAATTTCCGGATTATAGGTTCGGATGCGGCTCAGAATGTTTTTAATTTTCTCACGGAGTCGGCCTGATTTTAAAATGACATGATATGGTGGGCTACCACCTCTGGGAGTAAAGTTAAAAACACGGACAATTTTATTTTGAAACCCTGTAATTTGAGAACAGCAATTTCTTCATTTGAAATGAACCATTGAAAGTTAATCGTGTCCCTTTAAGTTGAAAAGTAGTGTGAAACACTGACGTTCGCATTTATTATATAGATTGCAAATCTAAGTTCACTATCATTACTTGTACTCCTATATAATCTTCGTTCTTTCCTCTCTTCTGTCAATCATAAATGGTAGCTTTAATGTGAGTATAAGATATAGGGTTATTAGAATTCTTGCTATTTTTTTTTTTGAAATGTCACGACTTTGTCCTTTCCCATTATATTAATAATTAATGCAATGAATGCCGGGTAAACTAGCTGATTTCGCTGTTCTGTTGTTCATTGTTATAACAAATAGCGTTGTATTGACGTTTTTCTTGTTTTCTGTCTTCTTGTCTCCTTTTATTTAACGATACGATTCATTTCCTAAACAGTTTTGGATTCTTTTTCATTGAGCAACTTAGAAAAACACAGAAACAAAAAGTCTTTGAATTAAACTGTTTTTCTTTACTTTTGTTTGCAGTCTATTTCTATTGCATTTAGCTTGACAGCGTTCGATGTATTTTAGCGAATTTCTTTCCAGATTGCACGCACCCCTTTTCATTCCTTCCCGTAATGAATCTCTCTCTCTGTCAATTTTCTGCCAGATTCCATTTCTAAATCCCCCATCGACATAAGCACAGACACGTTATTTCCGTCTCATTTTATAAAGGTTTTTTGTGGAACTTCGTTGTCCTAACCCGAGTTTCTCTAGCTTTATTGTTCACCTATCCCTCCTTTCTCTGTCTCCCCCGTATCCCCCTTTCTCTGTCTCTCCCTCCCCCCCCCCCCTTTCTCTGTCTCTCCCTGTATCCCCCCCTTTCTCTGTCTCTCCCTGTATCCCCCCCCCTTTCTGTCTGGAACAATTATCCCCCCTTTCTCTGTTTCCCAGGAAAGTTTTGTCCTTTTCTCTGTCTCTCCCGTCCCCCCCTTTCTCTGTCTCTCCCATATCCCCCCCTATCTTTCTGTCTCTCCCGTATCCCCCCTGTTCATTACCCCCTCTCTCTGTCTCTATCCCCCCTTTCTCTGTTTCCCGTATCCCCCTTTTTCTCCCTTTCTCTTTTCTTGTTGCTCCTAATATCCTTTTTCCTTTCTCCTTCTCTCCCCCTTTTCCCCCTCTCTCTTCCCCTCTCTCCCTGTATATCCCCCCTTTCTCTGTCTCTCCCATCTCTGTCCCCCTTTCTCTGTCTCTCCCATTTCTCCTCCCCCCTTTCTCTGTCTCCCGTATCCCCCTTTTCTCTCCTGTTTCTGTATATAATCCCCCCCCTTTCTCTGTCTCTCTCCCCTTTCTCTGTCTAATCATTTCTCCTTTCTCTTTCTCCAATCCCTTCCCCTTTCTCCCCCTGTCTCTCCCGTATCCCCCCCTTTCTCTGTCTCCCTTTTCCCCCTCCCCCTCTCTGTCTCTTCTTTTCCCCCTTTCTCCCTCTCTAATTCTCTGTCTCTCCCATTTTCCCCTTTTTTTCTCCCCTCTCTCTCCTATCCCCCCCCTTTCTCTCCTTCTCCCCCCTTCTCCCCAAACACCTCTGTCTCTATATTCTCCCTCCCTTCTCTCCCTTTCTCTTCTCTCATTTCCCCCCTTTTCACTGTCTCTCCCTTCTCTCCCCCCTTTCTCTGTCTCTTATATTTCCCCCTCTCTCTGTCTCCCAAGTCCCTTTTCTCCAGCTCTCTCCCCTCTATCTAGACAGTCTTTCCTATCCCCCCTGTTTGGCTTCTTCTCTTTCTCCTTCTTCCTATCCTTCTCTGTTTATTCTCCCTCTCTCTCTCCCTTCTCCTCCTGTGTATTTCTCTAGTGGGGTCTCCTTCTCTCCCTCCTGTGTTTATGTCTAACCTCTCTCTCTATGCTATCCCTCCTGTTTGACATGTGTCTACCTCTCTCTTTCCATATATATATCCTGTGTATATGTCTACCTCTCTCTCTCTCTCTCTCCTATCCCTCCTGTGTATATGTCTACCTCTCTCTCTTTTTCTCCCTATCCCTTATTATTATTATCTCTCTCTGTGATGTGCCTAACTGTGTATGTTTTAATTTAAACCCTTTCCCTCCTGTGTGTGTGTGTGTGTGTATGTCCTCTCTAATTGTAATAGGAAACAGTTCTCTCCCATTTATTCTATATGTCTATCCTCTCCCATCCTCCTTAAATCCCCTCCCTGTGTTAAAAAAAAAATTCTCGAAATGTCCCCACTTTTTATTGTTTAAATAGCCTATCCCTCCTGTGTATATGTATAATCCTATATCATGTATATATTTTTTATATATATACCGTGTGTGTTGTATGCTGTGTTCATCTGAAAATTAACTCCTCCACGAAACAGATTTTCTGCAGTAAACTAAAAAATAAAGCAAACACTTATTAACTTCCCTAATTATATTGACAGCAAACAAGACGTTGTATCATAAATTTTAATATAAAGCAAATGGAATATAATACTTCCGCAAATAATCCTGAACTTATTACTTTTTTATATTGCAATCAAATATATTCTAATTGTAAAGAGGATGAAAATATCTTAACAAATACTACTATATCCACCAGAGATCCTAGTAAAAAAAAAAATAATAATAATTGTATACTATACTAAATTCAGTATATCCAGTTAATCATTTGTAATGATGACTCGCACCAATTACCGTCTTGCAGAAAACCAACATTTTATATATATATATATATATATGTCCCATGGGAGATGGTATCTCCAACAGAAAAATAATATATATGTTGGTCACATCACAACTACGTTGTCTAGAATGTTTAGTTCTCATTTGAATGATGTATCTAACATCTGTCAACATTAACAACATCATGCCTGTCCACATTCGCTATTCAGAGAAATTATTGTCAAAAATACATCTATACTTTTTAATGAAAATGTTAAACTAAAAATTCTTGAAACTATCTATATTAAAACATTGGTTTTAAAATGTTTACAGTCGAGTGTTTAAAATATCTGGGTTATAACTAATAGATATAAATAGTTTTTTTTTGTTTTTTTTTAAATAGATATCTCAATAACTTAGTTAGCTCCCTTGACGTTACTGCACGCGTATGCTTGCATCATAAACTTTTTAAATTGTACAGTACATAAGTTTAGCGTTTTTCACTTCACAAATAAAAAATTTAATTTTCAGATAAACACAACAATTTTGTCTTAGCAACAAGAAGACTCTGAAGATGACATTGTGCTAATATCGAAAGTACTCGGGAATAAAATGGATATACATCAATATGGTAATTTTTCTTCCTTTTAATAAGGATATTAAAAAATTTATCTGTAAATATGAGAGGATCCTATTAAGAATAATTAGGACAAAACTTCTCTAAATTATTTAATGAGACATGTCTTAATGAAAGCATGCTGTCAAAATATTCTCCTATTCCTCATTTTTTTTTTTTTTTTTTTTGTATTTCGTACAATAAGGACATCTCCACATACAGAAATTCCTCAGAGAGAAAGAAGAAGAAAAGCTCTTTTCTCTCTCTCTCTCTTTTTTCTTTCTCTCTCATCTTTTTTTTCTTTTCTCTCTCTCATCTTTTTTCTTTCTCTCTCTTATTTTTTTTTCTTTCTCTCTCATCTTTTTTCTTTCTCTCACTCATCTTTTTTTTCTTTCTCTCTCTCATCTTTTTTTCTCTCTCTCATCTTTTTTCTCTCTCTCATCTTTTTTTCTCTCTCTCATCTTTTTTTCTCTCTCTCATCTTTTTTTCTCTCTCTCATCTTTTTTTTCTCTCTCTCTCCTCTCTCTCCTCTCCTTTCTCTCTCCTCTCCTCTCTCTCCTCTCTCTCCCCTCTCCTCTCTCTCTCCTCTCTCCTCTCCTCTCTCTCTCCTCTCTCCTCTCCCTCTCTCTCTCTCTCCTTTCTCCTCTCCCTCTCCTTTTCTCCCTCTCCTCTCTCCTCTCCTTTTCTCCTCTCTCTCTCCTTTTCTCCTCTCTCTCTCCTTTTCTCCTCTCTCTCTCCTTTTCTCCTCTCTCTCTCCTTTTCTCCTCTCTCTCTCCTTTTCTCCTCTCTCTCCTCTCATCTTTTCTCCTCTCTCTCCTCTCATCTTTTCTCCTCTCTCTCTATCTTCTCCTTATTGTACTAAATACGTGAATATTCCCATAAAAGATGAAGGGACCTGAATATTATTTTTGGCTTTTGGCAGAAATACTTGTGTCGTCAAGTAAGCTTAGAACATTTCAGCAGACTGCAACACAGCATACAATGTGACATGAGGCTCTCTGGGACAAAATCACCTTCCTCGAGGAGAACGATCCTCGTCTTGTATCAAAGACATTCTGGGGGTTTAAAAAAAAGAGAATGAGTCATATGAGTTATATTGAAATAACACATCAGGACCAAGTGCTCATGAAAAATGGCAGAATATTATATAACAAAATATACAATAGCGCGTAAGAAATCGGTCGTGTCCGGTCAGATGAACGCTGACTTGTACATACTGCTTTGGCAACGGCATCTAGCTGTCGTTATCATAAATTCTTCAGTAGACAAGCGAAGTAATTCCGCATCTGTTACTGGTGTCTTCGTAATTGTCTACTGTCCTGTGTGTGTGCGTATACACGCCTGTCTCTTATATAAAGTGGATTGCATTGCTGTTGCCACTGGCATTTATTTCAGACAGTATTATAATTGCTAAGGCTTTTTTTAAAAATGTTCTTTTAAGGTACTTATCCTACTGTACTTAAGTCGGTATCTTTCATAATACGAGAAGAGCAAGTCACGGGTTGTTGGCTGTTAAACAAATAAATACGAATAGACAGACAGCGATGCACAGGTTTAGAAATAGAAAACTAAAATTCTCTAGCGCATTTCTCGCATATTTCTTGGCTATGTGAATCCTGATGTCGTTCAATGCGTAATATGAACCTATTGTGATCTTATCATGACCTTGTCTATGCCGAATGACATGTGGACACAATTGTACTTCTCCCGATCTCTCTCACGTTCTCTACGTTAACACCTGTTTAATAAAACCAGGAAAACATTTATAAATAACACCATCCCCATCTGAGAATAACTGTGCACTGGAAATTTGGTTTAAGTATCTTTTGGGATTGTTTTTTTTTTGGGGAGGGGGTAGTGTCAGGTCAACCACTAAGCCGAAATTTGAATATTTTGTACGCAATTTTTATGTCTGTCTATATCTCTGAGATGAGGTATTATGATTATTTGTATTATTTACATTATTCGAACTGTTATCCTCATCATTGCCATATTCACAACTTTTCGGCCTCTATATCTCGGATATGAGGTATTACGATTACTTGCATTATTTACATTAATCGGTCTGTTATCCGCATCGCCATATTCACAACGTTTCGGCTTTTGTACGTTCTGGCTTTCTTCTTCTCAGCCAACGTCTTTATCCACTGGGCCATGGGTCCTCCAGTGACAATACCCAAAGAGTTGTGAGTTCAGTACCAGACGACAGCAGTGGTGAACCAAAACTTGGACGGTTGAGTTAAAGGGAAATAACTGAGACATTCGGAAGAGGTATGGCACGTGGAACTAGTCGCCGAAATAAATTGTTCTGTTCGAAATTCCAATCACGTGAAGAAGGCCGAGGCGTACAATGGTCGAAACGTTGTGAATATGACAATGAAGACGAGGATAATAGTCCGAACAATGTAAATAATGCAAGCAATTTTTCATTTTTATTTATTTGTAGATGGTTTTAGTAGTATGTTTTACTAATGAACCCCTAGGTGGGGGAGAAGAGATGAATTCATACATTTCCCAAGGGTACTTGCGCTTAAAATATAATGAACTCAACTTGAACTCGGCTCTCTGATTAACAATTCCGAGCCATTATTTATTACACCACCCGCACACTCAGGTTTGCAGAATACTCATCGTGGTTGTAATCAGGTTCGATGTTGCTTAACATCGGTGATCGGACGGGAACCGGTGTTTCAACGTGATGCGGCCGCAAACCTTAAGTATAAATATTTACCTCTGCCCCACGCAGCAAAATGTGGCACAAGGCCGAGTTTAAAGTGGGGTGTCCGAGCCTACGGGCTCGGTCAAAAATTCCCTATAGACCAGGTAAAAAGGTCGGTTCCCGAGACGAGACTCTGCCCTTCGGCAGAGCCTCGTCTAGGGGATACCCTCTGCCATATGCCAAGTAAGTATATAACAGCCAACATCTGGATAATTTTTATTAACCTGTTACTAACCTTTCAGCTCACATGAGACATCATCAGAGCGGTTATACATATATTTCAAAGTAGTTACAACACATTACATTGCATCTAGACATTTGTTCTGATGTATAATTTCAGTCCACTGCGTGCTATGACGTCACAGAACC